GATTATAGATGCCTATTTTTCTACGCTAAATTGAAAGCTCAGAAAGATAAACCGTTGGTTAGGGGTTTCATCGCATTGTCCTGTTTAATTCGTCTAACACAGATCCTCCAGCAAGCAAAATTTCTCCTCTGAAAACAGAAAGCTACCTGCGACTTTTCGACTTACCAGCATAGAAAATTGAAACTGTAAAATAGGGAGGAAAGGACAACTCTGAACTCTTCAACTCTTTTTTTGGGCGAAAGGGGAATCATTAATACCCCTAAACAGTGGCCTTAGTCATAAATTCGCTAAAACAACCTCGTTTGTGCATTTCTTGTTGACATTAAACAGCTTTGCAATTAATGAAACTAATGAAACCAAACCATTTTTCAAAAGACAAAGTGGTTGACGGCATTAGCGCCGGTTTCAACAGGACAGCATGTTCACCAGCGTGTGCAAAAACAATCACGCTCGCCTTTCACAGTCACATTGTAAGCAAGGCTTGAGACTACGTCAATTCTACTGACTATAAAAGTTGATGCCCTGAATGACTGACTGACTCAGAGTAAGCCTCGTCGACATGTCCTCCATGTCGCACGGAGCCAGGAAGGAATTAATAAAGTCGCTGAGGTAAAGCCAGAGTCGGCTAGTCCAATAAGGCAGGCGTCACAAAGCCCCAAAAAGTGGAGTGGAAGTTTTCAAAATTTCAACGTCAAGAAACGTATCAACGTAGAATGGTATATGAGGCCGTTCCTTCTTCATCTAGTAGAATTCCGTGTTTTTACCTCTGCAGTTTTTCAGTTTTGCAGAGTCCCTATTTTTAATGTTTTCTCTTCATGTGGGCCGAAACACTAGACCTGATTTCGTTTGAAACAGTTGAAGTTGAAGTTCAAAGCCTGCAATCAGTTTGAGGCATTAGTTCCCAGACAATGTTTGAAAGTCTAAAGATTTTACTATATTTTAATCCTTTTATATACTGTTTTGAAACAATCGAATTTTATAGATTTTTGCGCGTGTTTTTGCATGTGCCGTAATCGTTGGATGGGTTTATTAAATCACATACCATTTGGTTTCATGAATACATCCTGATAGTAAGCAGAAGCTCGAGCGGTATACTATGCTCTAAAGCTCCGGTAGAGCGTCCTTGCAGCCGATCGCATACCAACGAGCATTCAAGGATGGGGAAGTCTCTGACAAAGCAAGGGAGGCTGGGAAATTACTTTCTGTGTTGGAACTTAAAACCGAAAGTACTAGTCTATGTTTGCTTCGAAAATAAAAGGAAAACCATTTATTTTACCTTCTAATCCCAACCGAAATGAGTTCACGTTAGTTCCGTAGTGATAATATTTGACTGTGAGTCTGAACTTTGACTTTGTGAGCATCGAACAATTGTGTCGCCCGACCTGGTTTTGGTCTAGGCAGTTATCGAAACTGTCCGATGGAACAGAACTGTAGCAGCGTGAAGTGTTACTGAAAAGCATCGGTCAGGAGTCGAACATGAGCGCTAAAAAGCAACGTCTGCAAACCTCCCTTAGGTATTTAAGTTTGCCGCTTCTTTTAAAGTCTTCCTTTCTTGCAGTTTTTTCACCTCCTACACAATCGAAACGTCCTCCACATCATACTACTATTGGCTGGGAGTCATATCTATCTCGGTACTCTACAACTGCATTGTCTTGCCGATGCGTGCCGCATTCACCCGTTTCCATGGAATGTGGCCCATTGCGTGGCTCTGTCTTGACTACTGCATCGACTTCCTCTACCTCTTGGATATTTGGGTGGGAAGCAGAACAGGTAGGATATGTTTTTTTGCCATCGCTTATTTGCATCTGTCGTACACAAACACACGCACTCAAAGGAATTCCGCCTTACAAATACCTTAATGACCTGTTCTTACCTCTCTCTTTGTAGGATACCTCGAGGATGGTCTGGTAGTGCGGGATGTTTCCAAGTTAAGGAATGCCTATATTACAAAGACAGACTTTATGTTGGACATCTTTAGCATTGTTCCGACCGATTTCCTCTACTTCTCCTCAGCATTCACGCACTACTCAGCCTGGCTGCGTTTCAATCGTTTGCTCAAGATCTACAAGCTGTTCGAGTTTACCTCGCGTACAGAGACCAGAACCTCGTTTCCAAACGTCTTCCGTGTAGCAACGCTAACAGCCAACATTCTTATCCTGATCCACTTCAATGGTTGCCTCTATTATGAGGTCAGCAAACGGACAGGTGCGTTAGGTTGCTTATCTCTTTGATGAA